CCAAAAAAAAAAAAAATGCAGCCCAATAAAAAGATTGCCTTTGACAGAGTCATGGAAAGATTGTGTAGCAATAAGGAACAGCCATGTGCAAATTGGTTCTCAAACTTGGAACAGGTCTTGCCTGTAGTTCATCTCCAAATATCACTTGGATTTTCTTCATCTCTTAAATCAAACACTTGCCTTACTTGGCTGCGTGAGCTTCTAGGCAACAGCTAACTCTTACCTACACCCAATCACTATGCAAGAACTAAGCAGTCCTCTGATTAAGTCCTCCGATGAGGTGGCTGAATCTGTTAGGTCTTCTCAGTACATGCCTAATTCTTCCTGGCATAAGCAGATCCTTTATCAAATACGGAGCTTTCGAGCCAGCTTGCTGGAGGCTGTAATCCTCTTTCTCAGTGAAGTTTTATTCAAGGTTGTATTGCTTTATGAGCGATCAGTCAGGAACAGGGAACCTCTTGCTGATTGTCTTCAAAGACTAAGAACCAGTTCAGATTCTCAAAAATAAAAGTAAATTATAAAAAGTGTAAATTACAGTCTGAAATAATAGGTGTAGAAAACATTCCTGCTTGTAATGCAGAAAGCATCATTAGGTCTTAATGCTAGATACAAAGTATTGTATGATGTACCTGAGAATCTATTTATTATTCATAGATTCATAGAAAAAAAAAGACTAGCTCCAAAAAAAGACTCAAGTACTTCCAACAGGATTTCTGCAGAATTCAGACACTTTAACTCCAAAATGCCGACCCTACAAACCCTGAGCTGCCACCTTACCGTGGGCACAACTAATTCAATAGCTTCCGTATTTTGTCACCTTTAATGATCTTAGGTACCTCAAGAATCTGTTGTGTCCATTTGCAGAGATGTCCAGACTTGAGAGCATTAGCTTGTAAATAATACCTGCACTAAACATAGTAATATGCTGAATCTTAGTGAAACACCTAGAAAATTTATGGGGAGTGGGAGGTAAGGAGATAGTCCAGTTCTTTGCCATGCTTGCTATGTTCCAACATCATGTGTCCCCCATTAGAAAGGCTCTGGCATCAGACTGTAGGCTGTGTGGTGCAGACCTGCTCTCCACCCCTCCTGCTTTAGCAGTACCCTTTTGCTAAACCAGAGACTGATTTAGTTGTACTGAGAGATCTCAGTGGCAATGTAGTGAACCAGCATCGCAGACCAGACATTTGCACTGTAGGATTTGGAGGAGCCCTGTGCTCTGTTTTCTGTTCCTGTGTGAGTGGATTCTATATAAAAACTGTTTCATGGACTATGCTCCTTATATCTAAGTTGAATGTGTTTAGCCGCAGCTTCCTGTCACCGTTCTTTGTTGAGCTAATCTATCCTAGATTGAGGAGTCATCTAAGCACCTGGTATTGTCTTCCTGTGGTGTATTTAGTCCAAGTAATTTCTCAGTTTTCTTTAGGAAAGGTTTGACAGAGTGAACCCTGTAGGTCTCCAGCTGCAGTGCACATCCTCCATCCTTCAGATAATTTCTGTTCCTCCTCCTTTCATTTTTCTGCATTTTTTTAAAAGGTAGATGATGCCTGTTATTGTTTGGAGTAATCCAGTATTAATGTCAGCAGTCAGTCCTACAGAGGACGCACCTTCCTATTCTTACTTGCTTTTGTCCTTGTCATTAGCTGGTTTCTCATAGGCCCTTTTTGCTGCAGTGAAGCACTGTTATCTCATGTGAAATTCTTTCATGCTGTGATCTTTAAACCTTCTGCATTACAGCTTTCCATGGGAGCTTTCCCCAGTTGTGTGTGTATATCAGTGGTTTGCAGATCAGTGACTGTATGTGACCAGTATTAAAACACATTTTTGAAAAAGGTCTAGTTTACCAAGGGATCTGGATTGCCCTCTTTCACCATCTCTGGCTACTCTGTCAGTCTTTGTGTTATCTGCAAATTACTTTAGAAGTGAGTCTGAATTTACTTCTGTATCTAGTGAAAATGTTACTGCTGCTGTTACTGACACTAGCACTGATGCTGTAGTATAGCTTTCACTTGCATATTAGACTAATTTCTTCCCAAGGATGGAAAAGCTCTCTTCATGCTTTATATTCTGGATCTAGCAAGCTAAAGGCTGTCTGTCTTCTGCTGTAACATTCACAAGAAATCATCTCTGTGTGAGCCAAACCTTCCCAACCTTTTACAAGAAGCACATCTCCTACCTGCTGAAAGTCCATTCACGTATCCAAGGAAACAGGTTACTCATTATGTCACCTACCGAAACTACTTAATGACTCATGCTTCATTTCAGCTCCAGACAGGTTTAGCAGTGAGCAATGTAGCCTCTTTAAATCCCCGCTCTAGTTATAGAGTGCGAAAATTATAGCTTTGTTTGGCCTAACTACTTTTGGTCCACATTCACGGAGATAAGTCTGCACCTTATCTGGGGGCTGACTGTTCACTGCCGCCAGCAGTGGCGCAGAAGGGGTAAACAGCAAATATCCTGCTGCTGGCCAGGGATGTCTACCTCTGTCTTTGAACACATGGAGGTCCTGTTTTTGGCTGCTGAATCCACTTTCAACATGCAGCTAAGGACATTTCCCCTGAATCAGGCATTGCCTCAGCATGCTTGTTGGCACAGCAGATGCTATAAGAAGAGAGCATCACTGGATCTGTTTAGCAGGGCAGCACTGTGACTGGTGCCATCTCATGCTGCGTGAGGTGCTGCTGCTGCTGAGGGAGAGACAGCTTGGTGCCCTGGTCATTCTGTACCTGCATAACTGCAGGTTTCTTGGCCCTTTATTCTGGCCTCTTCAGAAGTCTGTCCGGCAGATCAGCCTCTGAGAAGTCATTGCTAAACCTCCTTAGTCTTCCTATATTGCTTTAACTAAAATTATGTCACACAAATGTCATGACCAACCCTTATTTGTAGGACATTGGCATCCAAAGCACTTGATTCCACTGAGGTGGACACTACCTGGGTGTATACTAAAATGCAGTTTTTCAGCTGAAGAATTTACATTGAGGTTATTAAAGCAGTCAGTAACCTTGAACAAGGTCCCACTGTAGTGTGGCAGGGCTTGGAAAAGAACCAGAGTTTCACATCCAATCCAGGCTCTAGCCAGTAGACCATGTGTTTGTCCAGCACTTAATATGGAAAATGAACTTGCCTGGGCTTTTCTGAATATCATCAAGGTGTTGTTCATTCAGACCTTTAGCTTCCAGCTCTTAACACCCATCTACGTTCCTGCAGTGTTAGGTGAAATCTTCACGAGTTCGCCTGTTTATGTTGTCGCATAAGATGATACCTCCAAGCCACTCTCTGATTTAAAACTGGGACGGATTTGGCTGCTCAGACAGCTGATAAAGGTTTCTCGGTCTCCCATAGGAAGAGAGCTTGTGTTGCCAGCCTCCCTCCTTACTGCCTCTGTCACAGTGGGTTCAGAGAGGTGGCGCATGGGGGAGTGCCGGAGTTAACTGGGGTCCTGGCTCTGTGCTCCCCAGTGATCCCCCAGTTTGCTGGGAGTGTCTTCATACAGACAAGTGGGAAAAGGTACCAGCCCTCTGTATTACTGGAATTGGATCAGGGCCCAGGATCTAGGAAGTATCCTAGTCACTGCTCCTCCCTCAGCCTGTAATTTGGGAAATTCTGGAAATTCAAAGGAAGTGAACAGCTTGCAAACTTGGGGTGATTAGCGGAGATAAAATTGAGGAAAGCAAAGAAAGCTTTTTTTGTTGTTACCATCTGTTAGTATTTTTATAATCTCAACTTAAAGCTCAGAATTCTCAATAATCTCTTGCATTCAGGTAATAACAAGTGAAATTTTATGAGATTTCCTGTCTGTATGGACTTGTTAAAATTGTGGAACTGATTTGTGGTCTTGCCTCTTGCAGTTACACACCACAGCAATTTTATTTAACCTTTAAAAAGACCCCATTGGCTGAAATTCACTGTGCCAGAATTGGGTTTTATTGAAATGTGCACACCATGAATAGGGCAACTATGCCTGACATGTAGGTGTTTTGTCATAGGTCAGTGCATCCCACCATAACATAAACAATGATTTGCATGTGCATGTGTCAAATCTTTTTCATTTAGCTTGTCATATACTGGAATGCTGTGATGGCCTGGCCCAGGATGTCATCAGCACCATAGGGCAAGCGTTTGAGCTTCGATTTAAGCAATACTTGCAGTGCCCCTCTAAGATACCTACCTTCCATGATAGGTAAGTACGGTTGCAGAAGACTGCTAAAGGATATTCTTTAGCTTTGTATTTATTTAATAAAATGTGCTGTGGACAAAGTTGCTGGAGACGAACAGGATTTAAATACTTTGAAAAGAGATTTCTGCTGAATTAGCAAAGCAGGGTTTGTCTAATGAATATGAAAGGAGCACAGTCATTTTAAAAGAATGGGATAAATATGGATTTCACAGTGGACTTCCTGAAATGATCATGCTTTTTCTGTTGTAGTTAGTAGGCAGTGTTGGATGGCCAAGAATGGATGTTATTTGTGGCATTTCCTCATAGTTTTTACTGTTATAGCGGTAAATCTGTCAATTTAGATGAAGTGAGCTAGAGTTGCTGGGCTTCCAAAATGACTAGTGATGGTTCACTATTTCTGATATTAGCCAGGGTGAAATTTTTAGGAATGTGATGTATTATACAGAGGCTTTGACTGCATTGTTCTCTGGAGGATACAAAATCTGTCTGCTTGTGTAGGTTTAAAAGGCTGGGATATAGCATTCTGTTTTCTTTAGTGAGCTGTGTCATGGGTTGCTATATGCTTGCTAACATTAGTATAAATCCCAGTGAGCTGGTACCCTGTCTAATCTCTTATATCAGAGTAAAATGAGTGTATGGTGACTATAAAATGCTACTATCCTAATCTGGAAGCATTCTGTACTCACTTTAGACTTGTGTAAACGACTGTTAAATGTAGACTGAAACCACAGATACGATCTCTTGATTTTGTGAAGTTCTTCCAGATCTATATTGGTGATAGAGCAGCCATAATTAAAGACAAAGTTTTAAGGCTTAGTCAATCAATCAAGTAATAATATTACAAATGCTACTGTAAGGTTAAATAAAATTGTTTGTTAATGCAGTTTATAGTGTTTTTTAAAGCTAAGTAAAAACATCCTTTACTCAGCATGAAGAATTTCGTCCATTGCAAAGGAGGTTTAGATCAAGTTTATCTAAACAGAGCGGGTCTGCTGCATGATCCATCATTGCTTTCTGACTTATAATAGTAGCTGAATTGTCAAAATAATATGCAATGGTGATCCCCTGACAGGCAGTCTTAACATGCTGCAAGTATCTGTAAGTGCTTTGCAAGCGAGGGGCAAAATAAAGTACACACTTTCTTACAGGATGCAGAGTTTTGATGAGCCATGGATGGAAGAAGATAACGAGGCAACAGAACATCCCTATTACAACAACATCCCAAATAAAATGCCCCCCCCTGGCGGCTTCATTGATGCCAGGCTCAAAGCAAGACTTCCCACTGCTGCAGATACAGCTCAGGTCAGTGCAATTGCATCTCTGCCCTCCTGCTGATGGATCAAAAATTTTTAGAAAATGTGTATTTTAAGGTGGATGCATTGGGACCAATTATAGCTTACAGCCCTTCATGTGTGGCCAGTTTCCTTTTGAATGGGCATTGAAGATCTAGGGGGCAACAAATTAGGCAGGTTCAGAACAAACAGCAGTTGAGCTCCTCATGGTGTTAAAAGATTACACAGGTTCAAGGAAGAGAAATCCACTGAGGGTTACTGCATTTGTAGAAACCATGTCTGCTTCGGAGAGCATCAAATAGTGCACACTACTGGGAAGGATTTGGTGCAGAGCTGTTATAACAATCTAGTGCAGTCATTACTAACAGTTCATTATGTTAATAGCTCAGCAGCGATCAGTATTCAGCCAGGTTCCTAGGTAGGTTTTTCACCTCACGTTGAACTGAGGTCAGCTCAGATATTTCTACCAGCATTGCTGTTAGAAGTTTGACTGCAGTATCAACGTAGCCACCTAAGAGGAGTTTTCAGATCTAGCACAGCTCTGCTTAAATCCAGAGAGGCCTTATCTGTAGACAACATCCTCCCTTCAGTACCTGAGTGTGTCCCCTGGTACCAATGTGAGTTTTTCAGCTCATGCTTTGGAGGGTGCTGGGGGTGTCTTCTGGTCCCTGGTGTGTTTCTGCGGAATGCTTTTCTGACATAGTTTGTCAGGGCTTGCTATGTGGAGATGATGTATCATTTGGGATTGCAGGGGTTAATAAAAGCAGGAAGCAGGGAAGTTTACATGAAGGTCACCAGTAATATCTTACTCCTACACAAATGCATTTGTGAGATATATATTCTGACACCATGATGAATCGGAAATGAAGAGTGGGAGTACACAGAATACAGCCAAGGAAATTGTCAGAGCCACTCATAATATATCTGAGCATTTTAAAGGTAATTGAAAATTTCTTTGCACATGTGTCCATTCCAGTCTGCAGCAGGAGTGGGAGGAGAGCAAACCTATTACCAGAGTCGTCACTTAGGAGACAAATTCAGTGAAGACTGGCATCATGGGCCTGTTAAGCAAGGTGAGTTTTGCTAGTTTTAGCTGTAATACTGCAGGAGGTCTTGGGTGGGCAAAGCATGTGAAAGTCTGATGCCTCAAAGTCTTAAGGCTTCTTTGAGAATAACATATTCCTGTAGCGTGCCCATCTTTGTATGGTGAAGTTTTCCTACCTGCAGTATGATTTTGCTGGGCTGTGAGGCTGTATTGGAGTAGCAGAGGTAAGAAGTTTCATCTTTAAAGGTAATGAAGCTGTAGCAAATCTAGTGGGAAAAGCTAGTTTCTTCCTAGGATGCTGTGTGAAAAAATAGTAGCAAGTAAAGGCACTTGCAATTGGCTTTTTTATGCAGTCTTCATACGGAGCTTTTGGTATTGATTGATTTCTGGGAAGCAAGACCTGATGAACTGCACTTTGTTGATATATTTGTCTGAATTTTAGTGTTGATATCAGTGAAAAGCATTTGGTAACTACCTCTGGATAAATTATCAAATGCACACCTTCATAAAATCTTATCTTTTGCAGAGCAGTTCATAAACAGAGTTGCCCCAAACCTTCAGCTATCTAGCTTGCCATGGTATTTAAAGGCAGGCTGCCTGGTCTGTTCTGAAACTCTGACCCACTGGGGTATGCAAGATGGAGTTTCCAAAGGAAGAGCCTAAAGTCAGAAGTTTTTTTTCAAATGTGGAGCAATGCATGTGTTTGCACATGACCTCTGCTCCACAAATAACAAATAATGCATATTGTTCTTGTTGTTGTTGTCCATGAATTTTAAGCAAATCACATCAAAACATATGTGTGAAATTTCACCCCTTCCACCTTTATGTGACAGCTTTACTGCGTTTCTGGGGACACTTTCTTTTCAAATGCCAGACTATGTTATCTGTTGTTAATCTGCACAGATTTGAGGATTTTATTCCATTTCCTCCTCTTGTGACTCTGCAACTGAATATCAGTTTTGAAACAGACAGTCTTTATTTATAAAATTTTCCTTTCCTCCTGAATAATACTCCCCTCCCCAAACCCTCACCGAAACACAGTTCTGAATCCATTCATCAACATTTTTTTTCTACTAGATCCTGCAGTTATTGACTTTACATCCCATTCCAGGGAATTTTAAACCTGTGGTGATGGGGTGTGATGTTATTTGGTCATTATAACAACACTGTTCTGTCAAATACAAAAAAGAAGAAAAAAAGTCTTGCATTTTCTAGGATCTCTGGATATTTGTAGTATGCCGGAAGGGAAATCACAAGTAACCCCAACAGCAGAGATACCAACATACGTAAACACCCAGCATATAAATACAGAAGCTCTATTGGCACTTCAGGCAGATGCTGAAAGTACCTTCAGTGGAACAACAGATGATACCAAAGAGAGCAGCCCAGGAAAAGATCTGTTTGACATGAGTGAGTTCCCTTCCTATTCACTCCCTTTCTAACAAATGACCCAATATGTTTATGCATTAGGTCTGTATAAAAATAATTTTTAAATTCTCCAAATTTTAGTATTCCTGGTGGAGTTATGGTGAATTTTGGAGTTGGCGGTGGTTTCATATCTGACCAAGTTAAAATAAGGGTGGCCAAAGAATTGAAGCTAGTTTGTAGTATATCTGAGTTAAGCTGAGTTTTGCAGCCTGTGTTATCCTTAGCATCACAGGCAACTACGTCAGGAGTAAAATAAGTCAGGAGGCTTGTCATACAGGAAAGTGAATGAGTGAATGGCCGGAGCATTAGCTCCAGCCTGTCCTGCGAATATGTTACTAGGAAGTCAACGCATACTACAAAAACCCTGTGCAACAAGGAAGCTGGGAGGGAAATTGAAAGGCTGAGATATCCCTTGCTCTGCATAGGCCTACTATCCTATCTAGCTATCTGTTCCAACTTTGAAGTCAGCTTTTCCAAAATCACAATCATAGCCATAGCCGTAAAACAGTGGCTTAAGCATCAGTCATAATTTGATGATGGTGCTACCAATACACACTGTTTTCAGCCTTGAAGAGATACTTAACAGGAAATATGGGGAAAGCAGTTTGGTAAACAGAAAATTTTCTTTGTTTTTCTACTCTTCCTACCTCCAATCAATTGCTGACCCATGATTTACTTAATTCCATTCACATAATTAAGAGGCAGTGAGACAAAGCAGTTGGTGCCTATATGTTATTTGTAAAAGAACGTATCTACATTTCTGTTATCTCAGTGTACATAAAACTGTCTTCCTGGCATGTTTTTGCTGAGATATGGCTCTATTTCCACAGCTTAGGGAGATTTGGGACTGAAAGAAAGGGGGAGGGCAGAAAGTTGAGGGAGTATATATCTGTGAATATATATCTGAAATGAGAAAATTCTGCTGTCTGAAATCAGGGATGTTAACCTTGATTTCTAATATGCTGTGACCTTAAAACATGCACATGCTTACCTCTATTTTATACACATTCTTTTCCTAAAAATAGGGAAAACTGATTGCTCATCTTCCAGCCTTCATTAATCTTTATTAACCATTGGATCATTGGGGAAAAGTCAACTAGCCCTAAGTTAGTGGTTTGTCAAGCTAAACGTGTTGGGCTTTGTGCAGACTGCAATGTAGCGAAGACATATATAAGCTGGTTTTAAGAATTAGCTGAGGTATCAACAAGCTGTGACAGCACAGTATTTACCCTATTTCTCTGAGCTAAACTAACCCCTCTGTGGCCCCATGCAAACATAGCTATGTACTCCTCGCATCTGAGCAGTCTGTTTAGAGCTGGTGTATTGCTTCACGGTACTGCTCTGCAGATGTCCTTTAGTAAGTCTAGTGGGCACAGAACAGTATCTCTTTTTAATATGCACTAGTTGGCCCGATGAAGGTCTTGCAAGGGAAAAGAGCTTCCAATAGGTCAGTACAGCATATAATGAAGCACGCACTGACCTATTTACTATTTCTGTAAGGCTGTTGGGATCTGTAATGACACAACTTTCCATTCCACTCTACAGAAAGTAACAGAGTTCAGGATTTAGCTGAGGTTTAAAAGATGCTTCCCTGAGGCTGATTTCAGCTAGGTAAATCATGGTAAAGGTGTTAGCCTGTGTCTATGTTGCAAAGTCCTCTTCCTAGCTGGAGGCTAGGGGTAGGCTGAGTGATAATGGTGACTGATCCCTTCTAGACATACCCTTGGGATGGAGACTCAGTAATGGATAATTTTTAAATGAATATGTTGCTTGAAGAGAGACCAGATATGAGTATAATGACATTGGGTACCCATATTATGCAATTTATTTGAAATGAAACTGTCTGATGTAGCTGGCAAGAGAAAAGGAGAGCTTTGCTCGGTACCAGGGCATATAAATGCAACTGTTGACAATAGCCATTACTGAAATAAAATCACTACCTTTCGAAAGCTCCTGCCAAGGTTCGCTCTGATTTTTATCAGCATCTTTCTGCGTATAACATACATTTTTAACATATTACACTCCTTGGTCTTAATATAATCCATAAATCAGTAGGCCTAGCAGTACATCTTCCCTCAGTTTTTTCATAAAGATAAACGGAAGTGGCTATAACACAAAATAAATCCAATTAAAAATGACTGGAATATCACCATTTTGTAACATGATTTACCTCTGAATGAACTTGCCCTTGTTTCTATTTCTAGAACCATTTGAAGATGCCCTCAAGAACCAAACAGCTGAGGCTGCGTTGAGTAAATCCACCTCCACTGGATGCACCAGTCCTCTTTTATCCAGAGCAGCTGACTGGACTGTAGCCGAAGAGTTGAGTATAGAGCCGTGGTATCAAGGAGAGATGAGCAGGAAAGAAGCAGAACAGCTGTTAAAGAAATGTGGAGACTTCCTTGTGAGGAAGAGTACCACGAATCCTGGCTCCTATGTGCTAACAGGCATGCACAATGGACAAGCCAAGCATCTTCTTTTGGTGGACCCAGAAGGAACTGTAAGTGCTGACTCCTCAGTAGTACAGGAGGTTTCTGACTCCACATTTTCTCTAACTGTGTTTAATCTTGTTTACAGCTTATTCACAACTGATCATAAGTGCAGCCTCATATCTCTAATATGCCATCATATCTCTAATTCTCTTCCTGATGCCTAGCAGAAGACCCACTGCATGACTTCTGCACGTTGCAGGGAACCTTAGGGACCTGATTCCCCAGCAAGGTCAAGCTTTGGCCACTGCAGTACTGTCTTAGTCAAAAGTGCAGCTAAGCCACTTCTTTAGCCTTCCTGCTGAGAAGCTGCTGGTGGCTATGCAAGTTCAGCCAGCCTGTGTGCTGGCAATTTCCACATGACCTCTCTGTCAGCCAGGATATGGACTAGGCCCTCCATGTTTTCCTGCACGTAAGCCCAGGAGACAATTGGGGTAAACCTGCTCCATCTCTTTGCTGCACAGGATGCATCCCTTAGCGGACGAAGGGACCCTCCTAGCAGCAGGATGGAGAGGGCAAGGGAGCTCCAGTTTTCTGCAGCTGTCCTGTCCTGCTTCTGGGGAGGCTTAGTCTCGTCTGAGAGAATGAAAGCATTGCCATACATTTTATTCTTGACTCCTGACAGCTGAGAGTGGGCAACTCCTCTTCCTCTGTAAAGTACAACGTTAGATGACAAGCCCCAAAGTAAATGAGAAACTCCTGTCAAGGAGTTGGCCTGTTGGCATCTCTTTCAGCTGAGAAACCTGCAGCAGGCCAGCCGAATTATGCCTGGATTACATCCAGTCTGTAATGTTGCAATGAGGAATGCCCATGGTACTTGTTGTAATTACATTGGCCACATGAGGGCAGTCGAAGAATGGTTTTGCACTTTTTAGGTGCCAACCGCCTAGTCCTGGGCTTGACCGGGACACCAGCCTGGGGAACTGGCCCTACGCCTCTTGGGGGGCGGCCTCCTTGGCTAAACTTTTGCCAGCAGTTTTGTGACTCCTGCAGCAAGGCCCCCTAGTTCTCCCTTCAACATAAACCCACAAATAGCTCTTACAGGCTACTGCAAGGAAAATGCTGCTGTGTGATGTGGCAAGCGCAGGGATGCTATGTCCCACCGGGAGCTCTGCTGCTCTGCTGACTGGCATGGAGTGTTTAGACCTGACTCCCAGGTAATTTTCCTCCTGTAGGCAAAGGACAGAGGCCCCCCATCTTTTCTGCACTGCCTTTAAGAGCAGCACTAATTTGCTGACCTCCTTGCATAGGCACCTGCTTGTTCTCTGCACCCATCCCCTCCCTCAGCCTACTTGTGATGTGCCATCATGGCCCAAATGGCTCTGAAGCTCCTTGCTCAGGAGGGACCGCTTGATAACAACAGCTTTTCTGCAGCTGTATTTATGTTAGCTGTGCTGTCTATATGATTTGTGGGATCCTGACACAGCTCCTCAGCAGGCGTATTTGCAACTTGTCAGGGTGGCGAATCGTCAGTAAAATGCCAGTGTGTGGCCAGCCGCAGCAGCATGCCAGCAGCTTGCATTTCTTCCGCGTGGCCTCAGCGTGATTATTTGTAAAAATCGATTCACACGAAGGCTGCTTGAAAATTCATTTCACACACAAATTACTCAGTGACATATTATAGCTCTTAAGGGTGTGTTTTCAGAGCAGAGTTAACTGTCCAGTTGCTTCTGCTCTCATCCAGCTGACAAGAAAAAAAAAAAAATCTCTAGTTCAGGTAAGGGATGTTTAAAATGGAGGACTCCAGGATTTTTGCTGGATGTAGAATTAGGGCTTGAACTCTTGTGATGGCAGAGCGTATTGCTTATGGTGAGAAAACTCTCAGCTAGGTTGAATGGACTGAAAATGTGTTAATCTGAATACAGATAAGGAAAGTTACTGCTGTTTTAAATGTATCTTTCCATTTTGAAAATATAGCTTTGAATAATTACAGAAAGTGATGTTTCAAAGCAGTATGTTTCAGAAATCGGGAGAGCCTGTTGGTTTTCTTCAGTGACGCAGCTACATGCGGACCGAGCAGACAGCACCATTTGCCATCAACATTGTTTGTTTGGTTTTTTACTCCGTGACATTCTGTGCTAAGTTTCTAGCAGTTTTGCCAGAACTTAATGATGAAGACTGAAATATTTCAAGGGAGGTGCCCACCACAGCATAAGCTCGCTTTGGAAAGTTTTAACAAAAGTTGTGCTCTGTTTCTGAGAAAAGTTCACGGAAAATAGATGACATGCCTCACTTCAGAGCGGTGTTCACAGGCTTTTGTTTGAGGCAGTGCAGAGCCATCCCAATACAAAGCTTTACTGCACCGTGACATTCACATGAGAGGACCTCAGCTCTGCCTATGGAAGCTGTATGCCTAACTCATTTTAAACATAGGAAGGAAATGTTTTGTGAAGATGTGGTTAATTGGAGATTGTTTTGTAATATAGATTAGTTTTTGGCCTGTCCTGATTTTTGACTGTTTCACCTTGCAATATCAGTTTCCTCCTGCCATGGGTGTAATAATTTACTTAGCAGGATGCCGGTGCAGGGGGCTGGTAAATGGGTTAGAAAAATTACGTTCCCTGCCCTGAAGTGTTTCGGTTTCAAAGGCACAGGTGTGTACCGTGCAGCGTGGGGCAAACCCAAGCCAAGCACACGTGGTGGCTGGATCGCTTTCGGGGAAGGGAATTTTCCAGGCCCTGAAGAAGGTCTTTGCTAAGGGAAGCACAAAGATGCTGAGGCGCATGGAGAAGAGTTGCGTTCTGGCATCTCTGGAGGGACAGATCTTTCTAATGAAAAAGGTGAAAGCACTTAAAAGAAGCAGGTGGTCTCTAGAAGAAGAAAATTTGATCTAAAAATCTGACTTACAGTGAAACAAAATGTTGTATAGAAAGTTTTCAAGCAGACCTATTCAGAAAGAGTAATAGTAGTAGACTGGCCCATAGGTAGCATGCAAAATATCTGTTTGGAGAGAATAGAGGGAGTAAGAGACAAAACAGAAGCAAAACTCCAGAAATGCCAGATTTCCACTGATTTTGATGGGAGATGGATGAGTCTCTAAAACATGATTAATTGTGTCATTTTATTCTTAGAGAATTTTAGTGCGAAGTTAAGGGGAAAAGTATTTTGCTCTTTAATCTATCTTTTTGCATCATTTTTCTGAAGGTTCGTACAAAAGATCGTGTCTTTGACAGCATAAGTCATCTCATCAATCATCATCTCGAGAATAATCTGCCAATAGTTTCTTCTGGGAGTGAACTCTGCCTGCAGCAGCCTGCTGAGAGGAAACACTGACTCCAGATAACTATTTTAGTTTTTGTAATTTGCAAGCTATAACTGGTGGAAATTGCAGATCTGAAAAACCATGTAGATTAAAAAAAAAATGCATAATCACATATATTTCACCAGTATGTTTTCTTTAGGTTTAAGAAGCCCTATTTCACACAGTACACTTGAAAATTCTCAATGCTTTATGTAGACATGAAGTCACAGCAGAAGGCTTTCTTAAAAAGTAATTTCAATAAAATTGTTCAGATTCTCTAATGTGAATATTGATAGTGTATATATACACATTATATATATAAATACAGTATATATTTATATTTTTCAAGTCAGTCTGTTGATGGTATAGAACCATCTTCTGTGCCATGTGTTTTTACCAGAAGAAAAATGCCAATTGTGATTGTTCAGATAAAAATAGAATTCAGCAGTCTCAATTTCTTGAGAAAATGAATATTGGGAATCTTATTTCTGATTTTACCTAAGAAGCACAACTATGGGGATTACAGGTGGATTACGCTGGTTAACCATGGAAGGTGTCTGAATTCAGCAACTAGTATTCCAACTCGGAAATTTAGCATAAAATGATTTTTAAAAGTGTTATTTAGTGTCACTGATATCAAAAGCATTTTATCTTTCTGATGTCAAGTTTGAATTCTTATATGAAGCTACTCAAAACATTTGTATCTTGCTTTAACAATGATTTGGTGTGATCTCTCTGTGTACAAGGTGTGTGTATTTGATTTTTCTAACAATAATATAACAATATTCTGTAACTTTAATTTATTAATTTGAGTGCTAAGGTTATTTATAAGTAGTTCTCTGCTTATAGTGAAGATCTAGGTGTCCTTGATTACCAGCCTTCAATGAGATGATACATACCAATTAGGCAAGTTCAAATAACTTGTGTTTAATAGGTTTAATGCAAAATGTACACGGCTGGTCAAAGACATCTCTGGAAAATCTTTTCTTCTTATAAACAGTGAAAACTATCATGACTCAGTGGTCAGTTTTGCAAATGATATAATTTGCATTTACCTACCAAAGGAACTTGACTTTGGCCTTCAGCCAGTGATAGGTATTGCAAATATACTGCTTTTTTCTCAATATCAAGTTGAAAAATACACATACACTGAAGATGCATTTCTGGCAGAAATGTCCTTGGCTTTTGATACTGGGAAATATTTTAAGGAAGGTTTGTACTATTCAAATGCAAGCACTATATGAACTTATTTTCCTGTTTTATGAAGCTTATCAAGAGCCAAATTCAATAGACACAGTTCCTGTAAAGACAAAGTTTGTGCCAGAGTCAGGATTTAGCCTTCAGCGTTCCAAGGTCTTCTCTAGCACCAGTATCTCAAAGCAAATCTTTAGACTTGATTCATACAGGCCACGACTCAGCAGGGTAAGTCTAGGTTAAGCACCTGCCTACCCTGAAGTAGTCAATACTTAAATCTACTTAAAATTAGACTTGGTTTTAAGAATTTGCTAAGTTTAAAAAGTTGTCAAATTACAACCAAACTGACTGAAGGATTCACTTAGAATCCATTCAGGTAGGATTATTATATTAAAATTCTGAAATAATTTTCTTGTACCTTCTGCTTTGAAATATGGTGAAGTTGCCACTTGGGAAGTTTGGTTTTGGTTGATCTCAAGAATGGAAATGATTGAGGCACCTAAGACTAATCATGTGATCTGTGCAATAAAAATACACTTGATTCTGTAATCAAGACATTCAGAAGCCAAACTAAGATATTAGTGAACCAAATGCTTCTGGTTAATTTTATTGCAGATAGTTGTTAATTGATATTTTTAGGTCTGGGTGGGAGCTCAGAGCAAAGAAAAGAAATTAAATGCTGCATTGCAACCCAAATTAGTATGGCACTGAGGTTAGTGGAATTCTTAAAATTTGGGTTGTCCTTTTACCAGGTTGGAAATTGCAAGGGAAGGTGAGGACTTTTTATACCCCAAAGCAGTATCCATCAAAATGACTTTATTTAAGAGCATCCATGTCTCACCATGTTCCAGTTTGAAGTATCTCAGTTGCCACCTTTTTTGTCATATATAACACTTGTCATTCTGTGCTCCCTCATCCCTACAGCCATGTCCTGGAAAGTTTTTAGTGTGATATCACTAATTACAAAGGAAGGCCTCTTTTGTCCTTCAAATGTTGTATATCACTTCAGTAAGAGCCAGGTGCCTAACTCCCTTAGGTGCCTTCAAAAATCCCACCTGCTGCCTATGTTTGTTTTAGATTCCTCAATAATCTGTCGGTGTATGCCTGGAAAAATGTGGCAAGATATGGGTGTATGAATGAAGGCACTAAACATACCCTGAAATAAGCATCTAAAATTTTTTACCATTGTCCTAGCTGTAGCTTTAATAACTTAGCAGCCGCTTAGCTGCATGTTTTGGAAATTAAAGCAGGTGGCAAGGAGACACAAAATGAAACATCTTGACAGAAATATTAAATTCCCCAGACTACATTTCACAAACTCTGCCTCCAGGAAAATGTGGCTATTTTAAGCTGCTCTGTCAGCACAGCCAATTTGCCCAGCTCAGCATGCCCATTGGTGATGCAAAGGTTGATCAGATGCAGTTTGGCCCTAGGTAGTGGTAGCGCCTTTGGGCTGCGACAGTGTCCTGCTGCCGCAATGGGCCAGGAGATCCTGTCTGGCCAGGTGTGATGATCCAGAGGCTTTTCTAAGTCACTGGGAACCAAATGATCTCAAAGCTGTCCAGAAGGAAGGGCACTTGGGCCAATCAATGCTTCTATTGTGGATCCTGCCATTGCTTTTTGTCACTGTCACTCCGGTAGATTTGGCTTTCCTCTATATGAAAATGATGTAAAAACCGTATAGCCATTTGGATAGCAGTTCCAAACCTCTTGTTGTTGTTAGAGTCAAAGACCATTTTACACTGAGCTCAACAAGAGCGAATTGAACCTGCTAGAGAGGCAGGGCTCATTTCTGTGAGGAGCCAACACTGCCAGCAATTTAAGAGATGTAGAAGTTATGAGATGGGCTCAAATGCTGTGTGATTGGCTGAAAACCAGGCAGCTGACAGCACAATGATTTGAGCCTTTTAATGTTTGCCTTCGGTTTTGAGTCCCCCCACCATTTGTTTTTATTCTCCTTGATGCAATCCCAAGGGCTAGACACTTGCTGGTGGTAATTCAGGACCATAACTTCAAGAACTGGGGTTTTACTGAAAGAACAAATTTACTAGACTCAATAGAAATCACTGAGATTAGACAATATTATGGTATCCTTTGATATTTTCCTAGGGGATAGCTAAGAAGTCAGAACTGAAACTCTAAATATCCTGCAAGACTGTCTACATTGATTTTGAGTTCTATCTTCTTACCAGTTTTGATTCCAGTTGTGTTGTTACTATGTGAATTATGTGCAATGAAAATGCATTTGATTCCTTTAAACAACTTTCAAAAGTGAACCAAATGGTTCTGATTCATTTTATTGCAGATCTAGAGTCATTATTAGGATAATAAAATTTTCCAGTGAGGCTGGCAGTGACAGATTGGACATTGAGGTATAGTCATGTTCCCAAACTTTCAGTTATTTCAGATGCTTCAGACGCAATGAAACCTCAAAGATAGAAAAAGTGATTTGAAAACTGAATTACCTTCTGACTTCAATGGGAGTTTACTCAGTGTGAGGATTCCCACGTTCCCTTCCCTAATGCAAGAAGAGGATGTTCAAATTGGCCATGCCTGCGTGGAGACCATAGGAGAAGGTGCAATTTCCATGGCTTACTGCCTGCCTCCCTGCCCACGGCTTTGCACACACGGTGAGGATACAAGGTTATACAGCAGCTTCCCTCCACTTCACATCCTACAGGGTTCACAATGGGAGGTAACACTGGTTCTGCCAGAAACCCCTCTGCCACACATGTTCAATACAAGCTTGAACAAGGGACATAGTCCTGGGACAAGGATTTCAGTGCAAAATGTGCACTGTCACCGGAAGAAAACGTTTACTAACAATCTGGTAAATGTCACCTGCCAGCACTAAATTTTCTATATCCTGGGTCCATTCTTTTTCTCCTCTGTGGAATAATATGCTCACATTTCTTATCATCATGGTTCCCAGGCATAAAGCTGTGCAGTTAGATGAGGAGAATTTATAAAATTTATACCACAGTGCAATTGCTGCTGGCACATCAAGTGCCAGATGCCAGCTACAATGTATTCATAATAGAATTGATGCATATTTAGATATTTGCAAGTAGCAAATGCTTCATTTGAAAACTAGCAGAGTTTTGCAGCTTCCAGGAAATTTACAGCTCTAAAGGGGAAATTTGGAACTTGTGAATGTTCTGACAACAGGTTACAAATCCTGCTTTCAAGCCTTTGTTCTTAGCATCCAATGTCTATCTGAAGTAAGTGGCGGAAGCAAGAATTTATATTAAGTAAACCATATTTGCATAAACAAAGTCTAAGCTGAAGTAACAGACACACTTCCCTTTTTATCTTCCAGACATTTTCAAAATATGTCTGCATAAAATCCAAATTCACATTTACCGTAGTGTCAAAAATAGGTTGATTTGCATGGTCTTTTTGCCCAAACCTAGGGTTGTACTCTCCACAAACCTATGCTTGCTCAAAGCTGTCAGGACATGGGCAAATTCCCACTAAAAGCTCTGTGCTCAGCTGTACTTACTCTACTCACTCGCACACAGTGTCTGTGGACCTTGCTCACATCTGCATTTGATGCAGCTGGAATGAGGGCAGGCCTGTGGAAAAGATAACACGGCAATACAATTTGCCTGCAGTTAACCAGAGGCGTGGATAGGGAGTGAAAAGCTGTCTTGGGAGCTTTTTTTAGGGATAAGAAATGTGAAGCCTGGTAACGCAAGCCAAAAGGCATATAAGCCACGAATGAGAACAGAGAGTCACCAAATTATAAACATGCTAACTGGTTGATAGGGTTAAAGCAGAACCTCTGGGGAGGGGAACTGCAAAATACTTAGGCAATGCCTACATCTCATCTCTTTTT